CTTTATTGGGGTTTCCGTTTTTAAATTTAATTGAGCGTGTATCTGTTCCCTCAAAATTCTCTCTCCATCTGGTGATGGGAGACATTTCAAGTCTGGCAAAATATTTGTTTTTCTTTCTCAAGGAAGTAACAGTCTTAAATGTAAGTTTGGCCTGAAGAGATAAATTGTGGTATAGAAAAAAATTAAAGAAAACAAAATCAAATTAGACTAATCTGTTAAACAGACCTGGGATTCAACCTTTAAGAAAGAATGAGTAATTAGTACTTAGCTTTACCAGGAATAGAAAGTTGTGGACAACTTCATTTCTTCACATATTACATCCCAGTCAAAATAGTATCACTGCTTATTCAACAACAAATGGGTGAGAACTAAGCTCAGTTGGAAGCCTACTGTAGCTAACTGTTGATGGTATAGATCTTAATTTACAGGGGGTTTCCTTTAGACATGCCACACTTTAAGTTTGTCCAGTTCTGAATTTTGTTTTCATTATGAAGCAGCTTACTGAAGAAATGAGAATGGACTTAGATACCCTTTGTCAATTATGTATCTGTTGACTTGTTGTGATTTCAAGATTTTATAAAACATCTGAGTCATGATATGTCGCTGTATGATAGATTAACTTGGTCCCAGATGTTGACCAAGGTATTTCTAGCTATGGAGAGACACCTTATAGACTATAACCTCTTTCACGTCAAACCTCAAAAAACGGGGTATTATCTATTACATGTACCTATGCAGACACTTGTTTTTACATTACTTCAGTCTTTGTGCTCACCTAGAGACATGAAACTTCTGAAACTGTCTATAACTGACAGCTATAACTAGCCTTACAATTAGCATAGCAGCAGTGCTTGGGACCTTCAAAGCTGAGTACCTATATAAATATACCTAAACCCTCGTGTCTAAAGTTTACAGTATAAATGAAAGATAGATGGAAAAGGATATAACAAACTGGAAAAAAAGGTAGAAGGGAAAATGGGATAAAGAAATACTTATAATGAATAAGGTATGTTTTAGAGAATGGTTAAAATCTGAATAAACAATACATTTGTAGATCCTCCTCTTCACCTCTGTACCAAAGGACGTTCTATGCAAGCATTAAGAATCATAGCTCAGAAACATTATCTAGGGAACCTGACAAGTTATAAGTGTAATTCTAAATAAATTGATTAGCACATAAAAGCATCCAGGAGGACGTCGATCCATTAGAAGTATTTGCAAAAAACACATGGATAGAATGTTTTTAAAGGAATATTTATTTTCATTTCCATTTAAACAACCTACTTTGGTAACACATACTAAAATCTTTAGGAAACATTCTAAGAAATTTCAGGATTATAGTCACAGGGATAAGTTAAATGCATTTCAGTTATGCAAATTAAAATGCAGGATATGTTTGCATCATTCTGAATTTTATTATGTTGCTTCCTTTTGGTATGCTTTACATTAAAAATACATGACTGACACTCTTTATAACAGTAAGCCTTTTTATTGAAAAAAAAAATAATTATTGCATTAAACTACATTCCCAGGAATTCCTTGAATAACTTAAAAAAAAGCTGCATTGCATGTACAATAGTGCAATTCACTTAGCTACTGTATAATATAAAACACTTTATACAGGGAATACAAAACAAAATTACTAGTTTACATATTATACTAGCCAGAATATTACCCAGTTTAAAATACAAACTTAACAGTTTTAGAATCAATCTGGTCAAATGGCATTTTTATGCAAAAATGCACAACATATAAACACGGTAAACGTATTCCAGAAGTGCTAGTTATATAAAAAAACCCGAACACCAAACCATCAAAAAAACAAAACAAAAAAAAACCACCAAAAAAAACAAAAACAAAAACAAACAAACAAACAAAAAAAACCACACCAAAACCCATTAAAAAAAAAAACCTAAATTTTTTTATCTTTGTGTAACTCAGGACACTTTTTTTACCGGAATTTTGCAGTGTGAGTGACCTGTTTCCTTGGATTATGTATCAAGAATATACAATAATCTAAAATAGATTATTAACTTGGAGTGTATATATTGCTCCCACGAGGATACTGTAACTCTTTTAAAAATCAATCTAAAACCAAAATTGTAGGATGGCTCCATATATGAGGTTTAATTATGCTTTAAATAATAATATTGGTACATATTTAAAGTACATTACTGATGAAAAAAAATATAGCAGCAAATAGAAGAAATATATCACATCAGATGTGCTGATAATTTTTATTATATTTCTCCAAGAAAACTCCTTCTGTGTACTAAGAATGATACTTTACATTCACTTTGTTGGTAGTCAATGGCTGCTGTTTTGCTATTGTGCTGTTTCTGTTCCTTCTTAATCTCTCTTTTCACCATCAATACCTCTCAACATCCTCATTCTCATTGTTCTAAATTTAATCTTTATTGTCTATTCATTTGCCTTACCAGATCGTCTCTGTTGGTATATACAACGAAGCATGGACATCCTGTGATGTGGTTCCTTCTTAGAATCCCATTATATTGTGCATACATGAAGGGAAATGTATATAACTATATTCCATAAATGTTCTACACAGTAGGATATTGTTAGGTTGCAATTGGTCAGGTGTCTTGCCATAGAATTTCTACAATACTAACATTGTCTGTAAGAAGCAGGGCTACAAAATGTGTGCACACATTAGAGATTAGTCTGTCATTTCTTCTGTTCTACTTTTTTCTCTTGGTGTTATCTACTTAGGATTCAAATGAACTCTTATACACAACAAGAACTGTTTTTTCTTGAATAAGAATGGAACTGAGCCCATACATTTAAAATTTTATGGAGCTGGAAATGCATCTTTTAGGCTGGTATTAGCCTTGAATGCTGGTGATGGCTGTGCAACTGTCAGCCTCTTCTAAGGCACAGGTTGACCTGCTCCTTTAAAATGTCCAGTTCAGAGTGTTTCTACAGAATGATAACTAAAGTTTCCAATTGGTCCACTGAGTGAGGCAATAATTTAAATTAAAGATGTACCCTACGATTAAAATAAGAATATTAAACCATAAAGATATATTGCTCCAAAATGGCACGAATCCATTTTGTTGATGAAATCAATAAATCAACTGGGAATCCAACAAAAGATATTTGAAGGTGCACCAATCCTTTTCAATACAAACATGTTTTGCTTCTGCTCAGTTTCTAGATTTTCTCCTGACAGCTTTTACTTGATGGCTAAAATGCTGAGTATCCAAAGAAACTTTAAGTTTGAAAATACAAAACAAGCGATCATAACTTGTAAAGCCATTTGAAAAGTTTGGCCTAATACCATCTTATGCTGAAGCCACTGCTTTTAGGAATTAAAATAATTCCATTTTATTGAAATGAATGAATCTATTTAGATTTAAACTGTTAGGAAATTAGTCCTAAGTTGTATTTTAAATACTTAATTGTAATTAGATTTCTCTGTTTCTTCAGATAGCCAAATATAATGGAATAAAATCCTCCAAAAGATTTTTAATGTGTTATATACTGACACTGAAAGATATATTATTAATTGTGCACTACATTACTGCAAATGAATTGAAATTATTTGAAATGTTTCTAATCCAAACAAACACATACTGTCTGTTGGACACTTCAATGCCCAATTATACTGGGAAGCATGCCTGCAGTCTAACCACAATTATGAACCTTATTTCATGCTAAATATTCCCTGTTGAGTTAAAAATAATGTAAAAATAGTCAAAATGTGCCATTCAAAGAGATGCTGAAGCTCTCCCCTGTTTCCAAATACACAGTTATTACTAGCATTTTCAACCACGCATTACCCTGAAGGACGGATACATGAGTTCAAACATTGCAGATTCAGAACTTCAATTTGTATGTTGAGAGTTTGGGAAGCCATGTGAGAATCTTCATGTATTTATTTAGATTCAATATACTTGAAATGTTCAGAACTGTGGTTTGCTATGAGACTGGACTTGGAGAGCCAGCTTCTGCTCTGAATTTTACTTCTGCATCTTTATGAATATCAGCATGATTTTATAGGACCAGTCAATTGTTTATGTTGTTTGTGACAGGGATGGAATATATTTACACATTCTTTGGGCAACACTGTCCCACATGTCAGAGCTCTGTTTGGTAGGAAAGAACTGTTGCAGTCTTAGCCAAGGATCAAAGCCAGCACTAGCTGCTTGGCAGCCCTGTACTGCTACACCTCACCCTTGACATATCCTATGCTGCAGCCAGAGGCAGGCAATACTTGGCTTCATCTTCTTCTTTCCCTCACCTTCTTGGATTACTGGCTCAGGAAGAAAAGTAGCAGCCTGCTTATGCCAGCACAGAGTCCCTTACACTAAGGGAATTTTTTTTGTTACATACCTGTGGCCAAACTGCAGTCCCTTTACACCATCCAATCAACATATCACAGGGTTGAAATCACTAAAGGATCTTTGAGATGTTGTTGCGACCTTCTTCTTCCAGTGTTAAGTCCACCCCTCACTCTGAAGCTCCCCAGTTTGTTTTGGCCAGGAGACAGACTGGGTATTTGTGGTCCCAGATACCCTCTTTTTGCTCAGTCTGAAATACCTTAACTAGACCAAGTACTGTGTCCTTGCATATACACACTCAGAAAAGCAAACCTTTGAGGTGTGTCAAGATTGCTCTACCTCAAATGACACTACTTTAAATCACTCATCAGTGATCCTGTTGTTTCTGGGTGCTGTGGTCCCATTCCTATTCACAGTCACAGACATCATGTCAGGCTATTCTTTCCAAATCTTCTGTAGAAAGACACTAGCTGGACCCTGTACTCCTTATGGTAGTATCATAAAAGACTTTAAAACAGCTTTTACTCAGTGATATGAGAATAAAATCAACAGTCTTACGCTGTCAGCCAGAACGTGGACTTTAAAATATTTGCCACTGTGCTCTTAGTAAAACAGTAGATTTCCCCTCAGATGTGGTTGAACACTGAATAATTTATTTTATTCAAATTTGCTTTTGGAGCCATGGTATAATCTTTTGGGCTAGTTTAAATAGCTAGAAACACTGAAAACCTCTTTTATTGTAGGTAACTGTTGGGTCTGACTAGAGCAAGAATGGTGATGGGGCTCTTGCCCTTGGAGTAATGGGTGAACTAAGGGATTCAGATGTATAGCAGAAGGAGTGGCTGCATTCAGCTGTGGTGCAAAGAAGGCTGGGATACATGCGTGTGGCAGTACAGGGAAGGTCAGTGGAGAACGGTGGAGGGGGGAGGTGGAGACCAATTGCAATGGGTGTCCTGTCAGCAAAGCCGCGTGGGTGGGAATGAGGGCTGGTGCTAACGGGGAAAGCGACATGGGGGCAAGATGTGCCTGAGAAAGGGGGTGAAGGTGCCCCAGGTTGCCATGGGGTTGTATAGATGACGAGAGAGCAAAGCGTTGCAACAGTGTGTGGTGGATGGTGGTGACAGAAGCATGCTGCTGAACAGGGAGGGCAGGAACCGCTGGTGTTGCAGAGAAGGCAGCTTGTCCTGGGGCAGGCAAAACCTTCAGGTGTTTTGCCAGGAGTTGTTTCTGCATATGCTGCTGGGCTTGTAGCTGCAACAACCTGTATTTGTCTACTTCCTCTGCTGAAAATGTGATAGGCTGCTGCGTTAAAGTAGGGGAGGTGGATTTACTGTACGCTTCTAGGTCATTTACTGTGTCATTGTACTTCTGTACAGCATCGTCACAAAGAGAGCCTGAACTGCCTTCTGCCTGGTTCAAGGCTATGTTTACATCATGTAGTTCTTCTTTGGTCTCTGTTGAATTGGCAACAACAGAATATCTATTAGAGGAAAAAGCACCAGGGAAATCATTTGGTACTGGGTCACAGCTTTGTATAAAGGGTTGCACTTCACTAATGAAGAGATTGGATTGTTCCTTTATTGCTGTGTTCCTTTTTATGCACTGGCTCTGATAGCCTGCTTCTATTTGAATGATGTCTTTAAAAAGACAATGATCATAATCAGTGCCTGTTGAAAGAGCAACATTAGTTATCTCTGATGTTTCAGAGTTGTTTTTCTTCACATTGGTTTCCAATGAACTGGTTTCATTATGCCCCATGTCATTTTTACCTATGCTTAACAGTTTCTCTGGCAAAGGTAATACTGCAATGTTATCTACTGACGATGAAAACTGAAGAGCAAAGTGACTTTGCGAATGATTGTTTAATTTGACCCCACAAGTGTTTGAAAATCTCTTAGAATCGTGCATTTGTTCCTGAGTTTTCTTGGACTGCACTCTTTCTAAAAGTAACTTGGCTGTCAGTGACTTTCTTTTTCCACATATGTCTTTTGCTAGCGTTTCAGCAGAGCAGGTGGCGAAGTTTTGTGTCTGGCCATTCACATTCAGAGAGCTGTAATGTGCAGTTTCAGCTTTTCCTGGTTTGGCCTTAGAACCTCTTTCTGCATCCTCTTTTATTTTGTTATCACAGTTGTCAGCCTCCTTTGAGAATGATCCTGAACTGCTGCCTCTTGATATTCTGCTACTAGATGATGTTTCACTGCTTCTTGAATCTCTGGTAGAACAACTTTTGGAGCTATGGTAGCTTCTGCTTCTACCACATGCTTTGCCAAAATGCCGGTATCTACATTTGCTGTGTTTAGATCTGTCCCCGTGTTGTAAAACTTTATGTCTTGAACATCTTAGATATTTAACTGTGCTCCTCTGTGTACAGTTTCTAGTTCTGTGAGATCTACTGTGACAAAGACAATCCTCATCTGTATCATCAGAAGTGAAAATACACTTGTGCTTTCTGTGCTTACATTTGTGCCTTTCAGCTGTCTTGCTTTTTCTTTTACAACAAAAAAGCAAATGATTTCTGCTGTGATTGTTTGACAGGGGACTCATGTAACTTATGCAGTTACTCGTATCACTAATTGAAGTGTCAGAATAGCTGGAATGTCTGTCAGAGAAGGACTTCTGGGGAGATGGGAATCTCCAGCATCCCATGTAACTTCCGCATCCTTCATTTTCTGAATACCTGCTGCTTGAACAGGATTTACAGATAAGGAAACTTCCACTAGAGTCTTTTCCACTGTCACTTATGGCACTGCTGCAGCTGGACACGTCTTGAATGGATCTGCAGTCATTTTGGTTTTCACATTTTTCCTCAGAATAAATTAAATTACATTTTGCAGCTTTAGACTTCTTAATCCTGGACATAAAAGCAGAAAAGGAAATGCTTTCATTTCTAATGTTCTGGGCTTTTCTTTCACAGCTTTGAAAATGATGTTTTAAAGGTCTTCTCAGTGTAGTTGTATGAAGACTTTTTTCTGTCACATAATCCTTTTGTGAGACACCAAGGCAAGCAGGCACTTTGGGTATATTTTCATTCAAATAATCTGCAATGCATTTTTGACCATTTTCATTCATTTCTTTGCCTATGTCTGACTCAGCTTTTTGCTTGGCCTTTCTTGGATTTAGGGAACCTTTCATCTTCTTTGGTTTCAACAGCTGATTACCTTGTTCATTTGACATTTGTTTGTGTTTTATTAAACCTGAGGCTTCATTTTCATCTGCAGTCTTATTTATAGAGCACTCTTTACAGCTTCCTTCATTTGTTTTATGCCGTTCACCATCTCTGTGATTTAAAGAGAGCCTGAAGTCAAAATACAGTGGGTTACAGCCATATGAAATACAGGGCTCAGTTTTTGTAAACAAAAGTAATTCTGTGGGCCACTGTAGAGCAGTGGTGCCATCTTTGCTCACTACACGGAGGAAAGGCAATGTCTGGGACTTAACCTCTTTAACTAAGGTCTCCCTTGGAAGTGTTTTCATGTTCCTGTTCATGGTTTCTGAACTCTCCAAAGACCTTTCTCTTTCTACCACTCCATGACTGTCATTAATGTTGCTTGTGCATGCTAGCTCAGGTGCTGGCTGTTGTGGGAGCTCAGGTAACTGGTCAGACAGGTAAGCATTGCTGTGCTTGTAGGTGTTTGGCTGGATACAAGAATTGCTAGTTTGGCATGAAGGTGAAATCAGAGTCTCTAACAATTGTTCAGACTCATTCAATCTGCTCTCTTGCTCTGTTTCTTTAAGGGAACTAGGAAAATCCAAATTTGAAAGGTGTATTTTGACTTTGGAAAATGAAGGAAGAGCACTGACTTTTTCTTCTAATGTGTTATCACTACTTTTATCATTTTCCGTTATCATTTTAGGTTTTGCAGCTACATGACTTGATGAACTGTTACCCAAATCCATTTGGCCTTGTGTAATAGGTGGCCCTTTATCCAAGCTTGCTCTCATGCCCTCCTCCAAAAGTGTGACAGAATGACAGCCCTCGACAGCTGGCTTTGTTTTATGGTGGAAGGATTCACTACAATCATTTCCTTCTTCAGAGTTCTCACTGAAGACAGATGCTGAGGACTCGAGCTTCAAAGGGACTTTTTTAGAGAATGAGAAGGACACTCCTGCCCTTTGAGAAGTATTGGTGTTATCTGGGAACACTTGTGAGACTTGATTTCCAAGTGCAAGGGGTCTTTCAGTAGGGGACTGGTGTCTGCTTATGATAAGCTGCTGCTTCTCTAGTACACTGCTGGAGAAACTTTGTCCTTCACTTGTGGTGGTTCTTTCAGAACTGGCTGTGAACTTGCTGCCTTTGTACACAAAAATGCCATCTGATGAATGCTTTTTTCCCATTACTAATCTGGGAGCTTTAAGCAATGGTCCACTCCCATTGACGCTGTAAGGTAACAAATTAAAAAAAAAAAAAAAGAAAAAGAAAAAGAAAAAGAAAAAGAAAAAAAAAATAGTTGTATTAAGCAACCAAGTTAAGACAAAACTTGAATTTGACAAAGTTTGCCAGGGAAAACTAAGTTTCTGGAGTTTCTAAAGGATAAATGTGCATTCTAGCCCTGAGCCTGGCCTTCTATATGGGCAAAACAGTCTTTGCATAAAGGAAATTATGAGTTGAAAACAGCACATGAATGGTCTTTTTCAGAGTTATGCCCACGTACATTCAGAATCAACAATATTGTCTTTACTCTGAATTGTTATCAAGAATTGTTACCCCTGGTCTGGGGTGAGTTTTGGGTTTCTGAGAGACCACTGCGAAGGGGATTGTGCTTTGTTCAGAATAAGACACTTCCACTTGGAGCATCTGCAGAGTCAAACTCTGTAGGAGAAAAGGTAGCATTCTGCTTGATTAGATAGGGTGTATGTATGATTTTTTTAAAGAGTAGATTTCTTATTTTATCTTTGTGCTATTGCACAATAAATTCGTTTTTTAAATATTCAAAGAGATACTAATGCTAAAACTATTACCAAACAGGTGGGGAAAAGGACACAAGGTGAATTTCCATCAATATTAATGGCAACTTCAGTGCTCTCCTTATCAATAACAATTTGAATGACTTTGCTATGTTTTGTTTCTCTGTATTCTACTTTCATTGATTAAATTTTTCTTTTTTCCCCAAACATCTCAGATTTTAAATCTGTGGTTTAATTTTCTTGTATTTAAAAAAAATAAATATCAATCTGTTCTAGGAACTTCTTAACAAACATGATAAATCATTGATTTCTTGAATAGATAATTAACTGAGATTGGAATCACTTGCCATTTTCCATTAGGGATGAGACATGTATAGCCACCACAAAAATGTTATTCCAAGTAATATTTTAAACATGCATTTCATTAGACCAGTTATCTACATTTGCTCTCAACACAGCGCTACAATAAAGTTGCATGAAAAAAATTGGAACGAGCTTCAGGAAAGAGTTTGATTAAAAATTAGAAAATAATGAAATGTAAGTAAATTATGACTGCCAGGTCTGCATAACAGCTATCTACAAATAGGCTAGCATGTTCTATAAACACAGCAAAAATGAATTGATCTTCAGCAGAGGAAACAACATAAAGAATCCCTGGAGTAGGATTAATTTTGAGTATGAGAATATGTATGCATTTCTGAGAATATATTTGCATGTGCCACAAATTTGGCACCAGGAGGTACAAACTCACCCCTACTTGTACATCAAGAAGAAAATAGCTCTTGGAGAAGGCATGTAAAGACATCCTTTCCAAAGTCTTCTTTGAACAGCAAAATAAAGCTGCATTTTCCATTTTTCTGTGCAAAAGTTGTACAGTAATTTTGTTGTCAAATTTTATTAGCTTGTTGTAAGGAACTCTGTTGGAACCCGAGACACAGTACTGAGGGATAGTAACAAGTGTGTGTGTCTGTGTAGTCCTTTGCTTAGAAAAGCTGACTTCCTGTCTTGCCTGAGCAACAGAGAATGGAACCCCTCTACCAAGACCACGGCTCTCAGCCATCCCTGAACCTATTAGTCATTCCAATCAGGAATAACAATCATCGTCTTTCCAGGCTCTTTGTATAAGAGCATGGGCTCCCAGATCTTACTGAAAGGAAATGCGCTTTTTTCTTTCCCAGACATACTCTGGCTTTCCTTTTATCACAGGCCTTAACTGCCTATCTGAGACTACATCTTCAAGTGCAGGGGCATAAAGGCGTCTTCCCACAGGCAGTTACATTTCTCTCAGTAGATCTGTATAAAATTGGAGTTGTAATCATAAAAGTGGTACATTAGCACTAAACTATTATATTTCAGCAGACTACTCAAAAGCAGTTATATAGGCAAAAATGGGTGTATAATAAACTCTGAATGTTATTATTTCCAGGGAAGAGTAAGCTTGATATGAATTTACAAGGATGCCAGTTTAATTATCTGCTTAATTCATTATAGTTATAGATTAACATGAACTATTGGTTTGGTGGCAATCTATTCTACTGAAGCATTTGGTGTTATTAAACAAAGGAGATTTCTAAAATGTAATGGCTTGTTAGTCCAAACTTTGTACTGTATCTTGATATTAATCAATAGCTCTAACAGTATTGGACAAACAACTAATTACTTGTTTTTCTTTCATGTAATGATACTTCCATTACTCTACGGAGAAACTGTGAGAATAATCTCAGTATACTAAAAGTAGTGAAAATGGTTCACAAACTAAGTATAGATTCTCTAAAGGTATTTTTGCTGTCCTGTTCAATTACTATCAAATGATAGGACAGTTATACTAATCTATTCAGGTCAGTTCGAATAAGGTAAAATGGTGATATTATAAAAACATCTTCCAGTTCAGAAGAGATGAGATTAACTAGTTACAGGAGAGGAAAAACACCTTCAAATAGCAAATAATTAATTCAGGGGCTTTCAATTTTATAGTTTGCAGAACAGGAACATTTGGAGCTGGGGACAGCAGAGAACAGGTTACAGTATACACAAATGCTGTACGGTATAGAGTGTAGGAGTAAAAATATGGAGATTTCTCCTGGTACTGAGGAAAGAGGGCATTAAAATGTAGTATAAATTTTAAAAACTTGCCATTCTGACTGCTTCCGTAACTCGGCAAGCTGGTGGAGCCGCTTGAGTGCTTTTTCCTGTTTCTTCTCATCTTTCCATGACTTTGAAGCCACATTTCGAGCAAATTCCCTTTGCTTTAAATCTTTCAATCTCTGTGTGAAAAGAACAAGAAGAGAAGGGATTAAATATGGACACAATAGTAGCATTTCCTCTTACTTGATTTATTTTATTTTGGCGAACTTAGTACATAAACAGAGAGTAAAAATATACTTTAAATGCTATCATCCTAAGAAGAGATTGAAAATCCTCTTTTTTCTTAAAAAACAACATGAATGGACCATTGCTATTTAGCTGATATACACCCACATATGAAAGCCAGCTTTTTATTTTCTTATGAATACACAAATCTGTTGTGTGCAAGCACATGCACAAATAGACACCATTTAATGTTGTCAAAATTATTTTATTTAATTCAGTCAGTTGGAATTTAACCTATAGGCACATACTAGAATAAAGCTGCGCTTGTGTATGTCAGATATTTTACATATCTCTATACTTGGATATGTATGCATGGATCTATGTGTGCTTCTGTGTTGCTTTTGTAGCTTTTTAAGACTTCCTTTGTTTTTCAAAGGAGAGAACTACTGTCTGAAACACTTGATCAGGAAACTCTTTATGGTTATTTTCACAATTGTTTTGGACCCCCTTGAACATCTATAAGCCAGGTAATTCCTGTTGGAGAGAGCAAAATTCCTTGACTTTATTGTATTTTTGATAGTAAAAGGAAAAGTGAAGGAGAAGACAACACAAAGCAAAAGGTGTCAAAAATATCCTCTGCAGAAAAAGTGGTACTAATCTTGCCTTTCCATTCACTGTGCTCTCTAGAATTTATCAGATCATTTCCAGCCTCACAGTTTCCTGGTTCAGGTCCATACTTCAACACTCCATGGTAGAAATGACTTCTTCCCTTTACCACCTATTCAGCGCTGTGGTGCTTGGGGAAGGCAGGTTTACAAACCAGGAGGGAGCCCTGGTGCATCTGGATACCCAGCCGGAAATCTTGAGGACCAGGACTGAAAACTGAACCACTGCACCCACTTGCCCTTTACTCTGGAGGTGGCCCTATGCTCTTCCATGAAATTCAAAATGGCAGACTAAGACCGGAAGTTTCTTGCCTCCTCTTATCCACCTGGACCCCAAGACATGTGCCTCTGAGCACTGATCTGAAGGTAGGGAGAGCTGGGCTGCCTGCAAATCAGCTGCTCAGGGAGCTTAAGAGCTGGGTCTCAATCTCTCTGATGACTCTGCACAGGCAAACTCCCTTGGATGAGGAGGAGAAGGCCAGAAAGACGGTTGCTTATGGAACTGATGTACCACCAACCAGCAAAAACCATCCTGCTGCCTGGTGCCTGATGAAACTTTAACCATATCAATCAGAAATATTCACAGTCTGTCAGAACTGTACGTTTCTCTGAAAAGTTTCTATCAGCTCCAACACCTAGTATTTCACTGAATTAGACTGAAACAGAGCAGCTGCAAAGTCCTCTTTAAACCTCTTTTGTTTCAGTTCCTTGGAAAGAAATGGCTGCCTCATCACATTTTTAACTTTCTCCTGTCTCCTTACATGCCCTACCCTACTGTTCACATGCCTCGTGCCAGGCCAGTCATACAGCACTCCATTCCCGCAACCTTATTCCCTGCAACTTATAGTAAAATAGATGAATATGTAAGACAATATTGCTTTTGGTTCAAGGAAGAAGCTTTTTTTTTAAACAATGTTAAAGCCAAAGCCGTAGAAGAAATCAGAGAATCTTCCCAGAACAAATCCACACTTTCTGTCACCCAAGTAGTATTTACAAGACTGTAGAGATATTGAAGCAGTAAAAACACTATCCTCTCTAGAATAACATAGGTAGTCTTGAGTCTTATTAACATCTTCAATGTGAGGAAAGGGCAAAGAAACACATTTGAAAAATGTCCTTTAGATTTAGCTGTCACCATGAGCTGTTCAGTACCACATATAAAGAATTCATGAAGAAAAACAGAAACAGTTTCTACCTGTCAAGGAAAAAAAGAACAATGGGAGAGCTGGTACTATGGAGTGCAGGTACTGCAAAGCAATGCCATTTTACTTCTTTGACATCTAGGATGATAATCAACATAGTAAATGGACCAACACTAAGAACAGAATTCCTAACAATATTTTTTTCTCTTTAATGGCACACAGCATATGTCAAGGAGGTAGAGAAAAGAATAACAAGAAAAGTACATAAGCATAGTGTAGGACTCATCAACTGGAGATGAAACCCAAAAATCAAAAATATCTACAGCCTGAGCAGAGAAAGAGCTCTCCCTGTGCATCTTCTCATCAAAACAGAAAAGGCTGCACTGACAGAGCTCCAGTTTGGAATCATAATTAAATTTGTCAGCTATGTTGGATAGACCACAGGACTGCCTACTGAACCTGCAAAGCTGTAGTTTTCTTCAGTAATAACCTGTGCCAGACTCCTGACAGGCACACAAATATTTTCTGCAGGTGGTGGACAACAGTATGTAACTGAGCAGGTACCTGAATGACAACTCTAAGCTCAAAGGTGTGCTTGAAAATTAACATCACTTCACATGACAATTGCATTTTTCAAGTAATTAGGTACTTAACTGGGCATCAAAATACAGGCACGTGTAATAAATTATGATTTATTTAATAACAATCTTGTGTTCTGTCCTTCACCTGTTACAAATATCATTACCATGGAGCTATATATCATATTTAGAACTCATGTTCTATTCTTTCTCTGGGTTTTTTTTGTGCTCATGTGTTTGTGGAAATCACCATATCTGAAAGTAACCCATCCCTTTTTTTATAAACACCCACACAGATTATTAAAAGACTACAAAATAATATTAATTATTATGGAAAGAGTTAGTTGTACAACCAAGTCTGTGTCATGTTGGCTCCCCTATCTAAGACCCACTCAAAAACTTCTGGATCTATTCTTCTCCTCAACTGGGATATGAATCACCAGGAGATTCAAGTGAGTTAAAGGACCTGCATCTTCACTACCTACTTTCACTAGATGTGAAATATCAGTGATCAAATGGAACTTGATGGGATGAATCCCATGATTGGGGTGCCGCTTTTGATGACTACAGGCTGTTCAGAAGGGACAGGTGAGGAATGAGGGGCATAGGCAATGACCTCTACATCAAGAAATTGATACAGTGCAGAAGAGCTGTCTCTGAAGAGTAGCCATGAACAGGTTGAAAGTTTATGGGTAAGAATCAGAGACCAAGGCAACAATGGGAACCTTGTGGTTGGTGTTTACTTACAGGCCACCGAGTCAAGGGGAGCCTATTGGTGAAGGCTTCTTAATCTATCTAGAGGAGATATTGTGCTCTGAAGTGCTGGGGTATAAAACCCAAGCCCTGAATCAAAGTTGACATATGGATGATTCCCACAACCAGGCAGAGGATTCTTCAATAGCAAGAGAAACTTTCCTCTTGGTTTTCTCTCAAGGCCTGGCCAATCTTGAGTGAAAACAAATCAGGAAGTTAACACAAGGTATCCCCCCCTGGAAGTTAATAGTATAAGAGCTAGTTCTGCTTGCAGTAAACTTGGGAAGCCTATTTATGGGTGGATGTATTGTGTATGGTTTCCTTGTCACTGGAAGGGCTCCCTAACTGTCCACTGCAACCAGTGTTCCCAGCAATGTCAGGACAGGATTGAGAGCTGGACAGGATAAGAGTGATGTATGTGACAATGCTTCTCTTTGGCAATTACTATAATGACTTTTTCATTATTGGGATTGCACTTTTGACTTGGCTTACTCCTTCCTCTGCTATATCAGATACTATGAGTGAATGCATTGATCTGTTTAGTCCTGTTATCCACCATATCATCTCTTTTCTGTATTTGTATGAATTGGAGAGTAAAATCTATTTCCTGGTGATGGCCAGTTCCTTTATGCTGGGCCACATAATTGGCAAAATATTTTTGCAGGCTCTTGTCTTGCTGGGGGATTCAACCACCCTGACATGCTGGAAAAGTATCATGATGAGCTATAGGCAATCCAGGAGACTCCTGGAATGCATGGAGAGTAACTTTTTAAATCAGATAATAGACAGCCCCACCAGAGAGGATGCAAGACTGGACTTGTTGGTCACCAACACACGTGAGCTAATTGATGATGTCAAGATTGGAGGCAGCCTGGGCTGCAGTGATCATGCACTGGTTGAGCTCACAGTCTTGACGGACATGGGTCAGGTGAGGAGTAAAATCAGGACCCTAAATTTTAAGAAAGCAAACTTCCAGCTCTTCAAGGAGTTAAGTCAGTAGCCTGCCTTGAGAAACAGCCCTCAGGGATAGGAGAGCAGAACAGAGCTGGCAGATCTTTAAGGACACATTACTTAGAGTGCAAGAGTTCTCAATCCCCAGGTGTAAGAAATCAGGCAAGGAAGGCAAGAGACCAATATGGCTGAGACAAGATCTGCTGGTTAAACTGAAGGGCAAGAAGGAAATGCACAAGCAGTGGAAGCAGGACAGGGACACTGCCTAATTCTGTAGGGATGGGGTCAAGAAGGCCAAGGCAAACCTGGAGGTGAACTTGGCAAAGGATGCAAAGAATAAAAACAAGAAGGACTTCTAGAGGTATGTCAACCAGAAAAGGACAGTCAATGGAAGTATATACCTGTGATAAATAAGACTAGCAAGCTGGTAAAAATGGACCAGGGGAAGGCTGAGGTACTCAACAACTCCTTTGCCTCAGTCTTCACGGACAACCTCTCTCCTCAAACCTCCCAAAATTATGGACGCCAAGACAGGGACTAGGGGGGATAAGTCCTTCGCACTGTAAGAGAAGAGCACCAGAGGAACCTGAACATGAGTAAGCCTAAGGAACCTGATGAGATGCCTGAGGGAATTGCCTGATGTAGTTGCCAAGCCACTCTTTCTGATATTGGATAAGTCATGCAAGTCAGGTGAAGTCTCTGGTGACTGGAAAAGGGGAAACTTTGCACCCAATTTTAAAAAGGCTAGAAAGGATAAAGCCTGGGAACTACCACCCTGTCAACCTCACCTCTGTGTCTGGGAAGATCATGGAACAGATCCTCCTAGAAGCTATGCTAAGGCACATGGAGGACAGGGACATGAATG